GGTGGTGACTTCCGTAGACCCCTGTGGTGGATTTACACAGTAGCTCAGTGAATTAAGGGAATACAGTCATCAAATCATGGGGGTTTTTTTAACCTTTACAAGGAAAATTATGTGCAGATTGTGCTTAGGATTTATTTGCTATTGTAAAGGTCAGTTTTATGTTGGTGAGGTCAAACTTGATCCAGAAATGCTGTTGCTTATCATGTTATGTAGGTTGGGCTGAATTCTATTATTGGAGAATAACATTTGCAGTATACTAATGTGTATTGCTGAACTGTTATAGCAAAATAATTAACCAGGTCGAAATGCTTAATATTAAACGCTAATATTTAGAAATTAGATGTTAATAGGTAGAATTTAATAAAGAAATAAATTAACCGGGTGGAAATGCTTAATATTAAATATTTGCTGAAACACAAAGGGGGAAGGAGCAGCAGTGTTTTTTTGAAGGAAAACATGCTGTCATTGCATGCAAACATAATTGGTGCCTTTTGATGCAAACTGCATCCAGTAGAACTGTCCTGGAGTTATTTGCATGTGCTTGGGGTAGTGGGGATGTGATTTAAGTGACTTGCACTGCAAGTACCTGAAAAGGCTTTCTGCGTGCTCTTTCAGAGGTAGAGCAGTTGCAGCCATATCTTTGATATAGCAGATATAGTTGATATATCGGATACTTCCGACTCGAGGTACACCATGTTTTTATAATTGTTACTTTATTTAAATCCAGAGATCCTCCAGATCCATTTTCATTCTGTTCAGTTTGTTGGTTCTTGCTTTCTTATGTCCCTGATCATTGCTGGGGGGGTTGGACTAGGATGATCTTCGAAGGTCCCTTCCAACCCAAACTATTCTGTGATAGCTTGAGTTTTCAGTTAAATTTAATTTATTTAATTTTAATTTAAAATACTTAATTTTCATTATTCATTTGATTGAATACAGAGAGGTTGAAAAGTCCCAAGTCACTGTTCTATCTCATTAAATCAGACGGTCAAAGTTGTGTGCATCATCGTCTCTTTGAATGCGGAGCTGTTAAATGGAAAGACAAAATTACTTCCTCGTTAAGAATTGGAGCTGATCACCTCTTCCCAACTGCTTGTGGGGGTTTTGGTTGTTTTTTTGATGTAGCATTTTCTCATATTTGTAACTCTTGTGTAAATGAACAGATGGGAACATTTTGCCTGTGGAGCTTCAGGATTATTTAGGGAAGGGGTAAATGGTAAGGTTGTGTGCTAGTCGATAGTTCTAATGTAAGTTTATCACTTTGTCATTCACTGTGAATATCCTTGTGACCAGTTTTGAGAGGATTCATTTTAGATTGACACCACTTCAGTTGGACTTTTCCTTTTCAGATGTTCTGAAGTTCCTCCATCATCAGCTCTTCTACTCCCTGGGAGCTTCTGTAGTGTTTTTGTCATACAAACGTACAGAAGTGAGGCGTACAGAATAGCATTTCACCTACGCTGCTTTGGGGTTGGGAAAACAGAAGTTTGCTCTTGTATGTAGAATAGCTATTACCAGGTCTAGCATGTACTGCAAGCTGCTTTCAGGACAAACTGGCATGACTTGTCAACTGATTTAGACAGCTGCACATAGCACTGATGCAAAATCTGTGATAAGTTATCAATATGTGTCAAGACAGAAATAAATCTGTACTGTAATAGGCTAGGGATGCAGGGAATTTCATGGTTTCTGTGCTTCAGCATATTCGCATGTTGTTAGGCATAGGGTAAGGAATGGGTGTTGCTTATTCCATCATCAGCTATCTACAGACAGTACACCATTACTGCGATGGGGCATCTCGGTGTGAGGACACGTTCTGTACATCCTTCAGGGATTGCCCTGGAAGCCTGAATTAAGACAGTGGAGCCATTCAGGATGGAGAAGAGAGCTTTACACAGCGAAGACTGCAGGAGGATGCCAGCTTGCCAGAATGTAATTACTGCACTGGAATTAATCCAGAGTAATCCTGTGCAACCCGCCACGTGATTTATTTACTTACTCTTTTCAAATGGCATAAACAGACGTGGTTTGGGGTTTACGTCTTACCCAAAAGAGTGAATTTTCACTCCCACAGTACCCTCTAAGCTGGCTAACAAATTCTTGATGGGTTTGATAACGTTAACATGTACGGTATAAAAGCTTAAGCTATAAGATACCACACGGAGAGTGAAGCTGAGGGATGCGTAGATATTAGTCTGGTGTACAAAAAAACCCCAACCAAAATTATCTGAAAATTTGAAGGTAACCAATCTGTTCCATTTGTATTTCTTACTCCTGGTTTTTTGTAAAGAGCAAAATGCAGTAGGCTTTATACCAAACAGATGCAGCTGTTATGCCCCAGGCGTTGTGTTCCGTGTATTTAATAATTGATGTTGTAGGTGAGGGCGTTTGGGTACTTCTGAATTATTCACTGTGGCATTTTAGATAATTTAGCTTTGTATCTCACTTCTCAACCTACTCTCAATAAGTTAATATTTCAACCACAAGCATTCAGTCTGTTAAGAAAAGGATGTTTTTAGGGAGAGGGAGGAAGAAAGAAGGGAATAAAGAAGTTGGGATTCTTGAATGTGAAGACTAATTGGAAGATAATGTATGACTTCATACATGCCAGAGCTGTCTTGTGGTTCCTCAGCTATTACCAGCTGGCCTATATCCAGGTAGCAGACTTAACAGAGATGCAGATCATGCTCTGGTTATCCTGGGATCCAAAGTCACAGGAGCATTTGAAACAAACAACTGAAAATAGCTGGTTTGATAGGCTTGACTTACTAAAAAGGTAGTGAGTGATGGAGAGATGGCTTTTCTGGTTGAACACAGCACTAGTAGTGATGGCATGAGACAAAATGAGTCATCCTTACTAAATGTGGTGAGATTTCTTCTGCCCTCACTGGTTTTGGTCACTGTTTCTGTACAATTTGAGATGTAGAATGGGATGCAGGAAAAGAACTGTTCAAGCAGCAGTAGGTGAGTCTTTTATTTCAGTGTCCTGCTGCTAGTGAAATGAGTGCTGGTGTTTTAATAGCTGGAGAAAGGTAGATGGGTCTTGATGCTCTTATCTGCTTGCCAGGTGTTTATCCAAGTATAGTCTGCCTGTGCTATAGCATGGGGGTGAAGAGAGTAGGTGCAGCCCTGTGCTGAAGTTCTGCTTGCAAACGTGTAAAACCAGTTCCTTGTTGACAGCTTTTTGCTGCTCTTTCTGGGATGCATGAAGCTGGTGGGAAGGGAAGTTTTCTCATCCCAGAAGCTGAGGTCTGTTGGTCTCGTGTGTGTTGCAGTCTGGATCTGATTTTCAATGTTCTGACTGATGAATGTATCGCACGTGGAAGATGGAAGGTTGAGGTGGGGATATAGCTGCGAAGGGCTTTTGTTCATCCCTCAGGTGAATATTGGAATCTTCATTTCAATGTTTTTTAAAAAGGAGGTTTTGGAAAGCACAACTCAGTAAGCCTGTTGTTTTCCCACCCTTCTGATACATCTGCTGCCTAGATATTTCCCAGTGAAACCTAGGATTCCAGATACCCTCTTGATTCCCTATTGCAAAATGATAAGCCTGTGATGGTTTTGCTGGTACAGCTGTTCTCAGAAGCTGGAGGTATAAAAGGAACAGGTTGTGCATGCCTTTTCAGCCCCAGACCTTTGTCTCCCTCATAAAGTTGCAGCAGCTTTAATGGATCATTTTGGCTTTCAAATATGTCTGACCTTTCTTGTGACTGTGCATTATTGCCTGGCTAAACCCCACCTGTCAGACACCTGAAGGTAAGACAGGCGAGAGAATCAAGTCTCAGATTTCTACAGTGTTATGGCCTGACAGATTCATCGGGAGGGCAAAGTAGTAAAGGCCATGCTTTTGTCAATGAGGTGGGTGGGTCAGGCCCTGAACACACAGCAGAAGCTGTATGGTAGGTCTGAGCTAGACTGATGGTGGAAGAAATCTGTGCTGATCCGCACCAGGCAATTTTCTGATAGTAAATACACTTCTAAAGTGTCTGTCAGCTGGGTCCTGTGGAAGGGAAACGCCATCATAAAGCAACAAGGGAAATCTCCCTGTGTCAGGGTGATGAGTGGAGCTGGAGACGTTGCAAAGGTGGGACTGATAAAAGAACACAGCCAGCGATAGGCTTTTTTTGATGGAGACACGCTCCACTAAGGATGGAGCCTTTGTTTCTCTGAGCAGCTTCAAGAGAAGCTTCTCAAGCCTGTCTGCAGCCAGTCAGGTGTTCATATCCAAACCATGAACCGTGTGAAGCTCACTCTAATGTACATTGAATTCCATCCTGTCTAAAGGTGGGACTGGGTTGATGGATATTGTGAGCGAATGTGGTTTTTGATGTAGCCTGTGGAACTGAACATTTGGAATTGGTATGTGCGTGTGGAAGATCACAGATTTTGGTTGGAGTCGGTCTGTTCATTCACTGGTTCCATAGTTGAGATTCATAGATTCAGAATGTAACCGAAAATTTACCTGAATTCCACAGAAGAATCTGTTTAATTTCATGCACTTTTGTCTGAGGCCCTGTGTGTTCAGGAGTACACGAGATCCAATAGACTTAATACAGCTTTGGAATCTAGTAGCTTTTTCTCCTTATTGTGGTTTATTAGAAATCAATCCAGAGCAGTTGTATAAAGAGGTGGTTTGGTGGCTGTTTGTGTATAGAGCTGCATTTTCATGTAAACAGTGCTTTTAGTATGTAGTACACCTGAGGTGTGTCTCTGCCATGAAAGATGTGGGAGATCCATGCTTCTGACACACTCAACCTTTGGGAAACTCCATTCTGCAGCCACAGAAGTGAATGACTGACTTGCCAACCTCATAGTGTTTGCATTTGGCTTTTAACTTTAAAGGCATGGACTGTTTCCTTGTTAAGAGGCTTCTGTTCAGTAAAAAGAGCTCTGTTGCTGGACTGTCGACGCAGCAGCTGCCTGCTGCATGGTGCGCATCACTGGGGAGCTCATAGCTCTTGTGCAGATGCTAATCGAGTCCACTTGTTATCTCTTTACAGAACCATGTAAACCCTGCAATGGACTTTACACAGACCCCTCCAGGAATGCTGGCCCTCGACAACATGCTGTACTTTGCTAAACATCACCAGGATGCTTATATACGGGTAAGGCTCCTTCTCATCTTTGAGGTCTGTGAAGTTGCCTGTTTGGAGTGGTTATGTCCTGTTTGCAGCTGACTTTGAAGAGGAGGTGCAGAACTCTGATCTCATTAACAGCAAGCTCTAGGAAGCCAAACCAAGTAACACTAAAACACGGTGTAAGTCTGTAAAAGACTGGGGAGAAAGCTGTACAGCTGCCTGCTCTGTCACTGCTGAGTCAAACATTACAGATGCTACCTTTCCCCACTATAACTTTTTGCTTAGACCTACAAAGAGAAGGGAGATGAACTTTTTCAGATGTGTGATGGGTGCCCATAAGCTCACAAATGAGGGATTGTGCCCAGTTCTCTGCCCTGCTCTAAGTCTACCAACATCTATCAGGGTTTTCTGTGGAAATGGGGCTTTGATGAGCAAATGCTTGGGAGAGTGACTGAGTTGGCAGTGTCCTGAGAGTTAGGATGAGCACTGCAAAACAGTAGTGAGGAAATGCTTGGAGAAGAAATAGGTAAGAAGCATCACGATTCATTTGTACAACCTGTTCCTGCCCCCTGACTGCTCCACTTCAGCTACCCTTGAAACAGCAAATGTAGGAAGTGATGTGTTGCATCCTCACAAGAAGCGGTGTACAGCTGAGTAATACCTGCCTCTGAATGGAACTTTTCCTGACCTTTATAGAAATCAGATGTTTGCCAAGCATGAAGCTGGTGAACACGGACGGGAGCAGAGGATAGTCTAGAAGGTCAGAGTTTGAGATAGTAGGGATGATTTCCAGTCTATTTCTGCTAAAAAGTGAAGAGTGACCTTTTAATACTCATTATCAACTAGTTTGTGCTCCAAGTAGATTAGTGTCAGGGCTCAAATAGGTTTGTAAAGGGCCTGCTGATATCCAGGCCAGCTTGATACGTGGACATGACAGGAGGCCACAAGGTTTGCTCTTTTAATATATCTTTCTCAGTCTGAGTCTAGCAAAAAGTGTTAAACTGTGGCAGCATGCAGTACAGCAGTATTTCTCAACCCCTGTAAATCCCTGAAACTCAGGGCTGTTTCACTCACTGGCTAAACTATGCCAAATAGTGGGTTTGTGCATACAGAGAGAATTGGTGGTTGTATCTCATTAAAATCTGGCAAGATCTGGCCCATGCTACTTCATAGGCTTCCTCTGAAAACGCTGATTTTGGAGAATGGACTTAGTTAGGGGCAGCCCGTGCTCCCAGAAGAGACAGTCGTGTTTTATGGGGGTTGGAAAGCATTGAGAGACGACTGGGGACGCAGAGCTGCTGAAGCAGAGCTTTCACTGACATCTCTCCAGGCTTCTTAGGGTTTGTTTTCGTGTCGCAAATGCTGTCTTAAAGATGGGGGTCAGTGTAGCGTGTAATGAGCCGCTCTTTAGAAGGGACCTTGCTGCTGGCTCTGCTCTGTTTCTGTAATGCAGGGGTTTCGCTGCTTCGTTACTGAGATTTTCTGTTGTCGTTTAGAGATGCCTGCTCTTGTTCTTGTCTAGTTCTGGCGTGCCTCATGTATTTTCCACCTGAGAAAGAATACATGGACACTGGAATTGCCATACTGAAGCATGCTCAGGCTAAACTGCTTGCCCAAAGCTGCTTTGGGCACTGGTAACGTGCTTTGGGAATGTGTTAGCCTACCCGTCTTTCCTAAGTAGTTCTGAGTAATTCTTACACAAGCATTGCTGGCATGGTGGCTCACTGATCTCCAGTGCTCCACCTTGCCATGTTGGCAGCGTGCTGAACACCTCTGAGATGAATGGTGCTGTGCAGCTCCTGCAGCACTGCTAGTCTTTGATTGCAAAAGACACCTGATTTTCCCTTTTAATCTCCTTGATTTCCCAGCCGGTGTACAGCAGTTTCCTGTGACTCCTGATACGCCTGCTTCCTTCTCATTTTGAGTTTCTTATTTCAGATCTAACATCACCCCTCTTCTTCATGGCCATTGGCTCCCAGAGTTCCCACACCCCCAGCTTGCTCTGCTTGCACAGCCTGTTGACCTTGCTTGTTTTGTCAGATGCATTTCTTCTACTCTTAGATCCTAACAAAAGTTCTCTTTGTGGTCAAGGTTAAGTTTCCACAAGAAATTATCTGGACAAGCAATACTGCATACTGAAAAACTTGTTTGGCAGGAGCTCTTTTCTCTCCTTCCATTCTTGATGCTAGGCAATACTGTGGCTCTAAGAGGAGAGGTTATTTTCATCTTGGCCCTTTGCAGTGCAGTTGATTGTGGTGCCTTGGGATAATGTCTGTGCTGTGCAGCAGTTAAAAACGGAGACTGGAGACCAGAGGTGTTTTGAAACAAACTTGGAAAATATGAAGTTTCTCCTGACAGAATGTGGTATTTGAAGCAAAGTCACTATCAGGAGGTCGTGATGGTCTCCCTGAGTGCATTGGCAGTTTAATAGACAGCACAAATCACTGCAGTCTGACCTGTGAATTCCTTAGTATAGCCGTTTGTCAAGCATCTTCTTGTGTTACTGAGAGAAATGGGGAAGGAGAAGTGAGAAGATAAGCAATAAATAATCTCTTCCCTTTTCATTCCTTGTTCTGCCTCTCATAAGTGATTCTACTTAGAAGTAATTTGCATAATACATGACTTAGGTGGGAAGGATGTCTGAAACTGAAGTGCCCTTCACTTTGAGGCTTCAGAACAACAAAAGTACTTGTCGGAAGAGTCAGTACAATGGCAGTGTGTTGAAGAATGCAGGTATGAGGCAGTAGAGCAGATGAGTAACTGCATCTTGAAAGCAGGAGGCGTTACAAGGTGAAAACGTGAGTGCTGTGTGGTGAAACAGAAATAACCAAACTTCTTCTGCCTGTTTGATTCTTTCCTGCCTGCTTCTCATTTCTCTCATTCACCTTTTCCTGTTAGGTACTTGCTGCTGAAGTTACAGTAATGCCTTCTTTCCTTGCTGTCTCCTTCAGATCAATGCAGTGTTTAGGCATTGGGTTAATTGAGTTTGAATCTTGGCTTTTTGTAGTGTACAATAGGACTGTAGCATCCCACAGAAAGGTTGTGTAGAGGAAGGGAAGCAAATCCCTGTTCTCTTTGACTGTGTGGTGTCCTTAGCTGTCATTTTGAGTTTTGAACATGTTTCCTATTGAATTAGTTTTCTGTGGAGTGAGCTTTACTTCCTCTTCTTCATTAGTTGTCTGATGCTATCAGGGGCATTGCATTTCTTTCATGTTCCACTTAAATAATCAATTGCTGTCATCAGAGGCCTTGCTTTTAAAGGTGACACAGTCCATGGCATGCATTGATGGAAGTCATATGGAATCTCTGCACGAAACGTAAGAAATTTTCCACAGGAAATAATTGGCAGCTTCCCAAGCTCCATAATTACAGGACAGACAGAGTGTATAATTAAAGTTAACAGTGAAGAAAATGATTGGAATAGAGCTTTGTGACAGATAATCTTTTTGGGTGCTTTGTTCTTATGGAGCAGACAAGTCGTGTGTTTCCCCTGCTTCAATTTGCTCCTTTCCAAAACGGCTTCAGCTTCACCTTCTCCTAATTTTAGAACTAAAATCAGAAGTTACCATTTAAACCAGGCTTTGCTCAGTGCAGACATCTTGAGATCTTACTGGTAACTGGCAGCAGTGGGCCTTCGACACTTCCCGGGGTGTAAAAAGGGTCTGAGGAAAAACCTTCCTATGGAATCACTTACGCCACCTCTGCTGTTGGTAGCCCTGTTTATTGGTGCTCTGTCATCGATTTGTTTGGGAATTGATGACACAAGACTATTCAGATCCATTTTCTTTTCGAGATATGATGGGGAGAGAGGTTTAAATACATGAAACTGAAATATTTGGTTGCAGATGTGTTTGTAGGTGTGTATTCATTTGCCTGATCTTGGTTTTTCTGTGCACACGCTTCAGTTTGCTGGTACCGATTCGAAATAATGGTATCATTTAATTTGCTATGAAGTGAAGCTAAAGGGTCCAAAATGGAGCACTCCTTCTGTTTGTAACCCCGAAAGAGGAGTTTGATGCTTGTTGTCCTGTGTGCTGTGTCTGTGCCTGGGATGCTTCTGTGGACGCACTAGCTCTGCAGTTTTGATAGGTTGATGGCTCTATGTGCAGTCAGTGTTCATTTGGGTGTTCTTGATAGCAGGCAGCAAAATCAAAGCTCGTGCTCCATCCGGGAGCAGACTGCCGTTCCTCTGGGATCTTGTCTGGTTTTAAGAGTGTTTCCAGGCAAGAGCGAGCAGATGCTATTGGACAAACTGAATTTACAGCAACTACAACTTAGCTGCTGATAAGCCACCATTGAAACATTCCCTTATTTTACATTTTCCACGCAGGCATCTTAACAATAGTGCTAGCATAACCTTCGTCTGGAGGGAGAGTGGGGCTTTACTAGGAGATTCCTGGTTTTCACAGTAGGTGAGCAGAGTCCCAGAGAAGTCCTGTATGATATTGTCTCCGGTGGGGTCCACATTTCTCATTCTAATGAATTTGCTTTTGGTGACTTGTCAATATTTTCCTTGTGCACTTATGAGTAGCCACATTCTAGCAGGTCTCAGTGCTTCTCTGGGGTGAGATTCTGCCTTGAGAAGACACGTCCTGTGTTCCCTTGTTTTGTTTAAGCACAAGAGAATGGTGCTTCGGACAGAAACTGCAAATAAACTTGGCAGCTCTCTAGACTTAGAGCATTGGCTCTCCACCTATTTGGATCCTGCCCAGCTGGCTACCCAAGTTCGTGCCAAATTCTCTGCCATTTATTAGATTAGTACGTTCTTGATATGTGTAGGGAAAACAATAAGCGTTCCTTGGAAAGAGATACTTTTACTGTATCCTGTAATTCAAGTCTCTCATCTGTAGCAGAGAAGCATTATCCCATTTCCAACTGATTTTATCTGTTTCATACAGATATGTGTTAGATAGTGAATGTGGAATTTTCTGTTTGTAATACTGTCACCAGGCTGGGAAACCAGTGTTGAAATCCATGCTGTGTAGTTGGGCTTACTGATCCCTTGGTGTGTTTCATAATGGGTCCAT